GGAGCACAAATATCCTCAACAAAATATTAACAAACCAAATTCAACAATACTTAAAAAAATTACTCATCATGATCAAATGTGATTTATTCCAAGGATGCAAGGCGTTTCACTATTCACAAATCAATCAACATGATAGGTCACATTAACAAGGATAAAAACTATATAATCATCTCAACAGAAACAGAAAAAGCATCTGACAAATACAACATCCATTCATGATAAAAACTCAATGAAGCAGGTGTAGCAGGAAGATACCTCAACATAATAAAGGCCATATATGACAAACCTACAGCAAATATCATACTCAATGGTGAAAATCAGAATTTTTCCTCTAAGATCAAGAACAAGACAGGGATGTCCACTCTCACGACTTTCATTCAACAGAGTATTGGATGTCCTAGTCACAGCAATCAGGTAACAAAAACAAATAATAGCATTCAAATTGGTAAAGAAGTAGTAAAATTTTCACTATTTTTAGATGACCTGATACTATACATAGAAACCCTGAAGACTCTACCAAAAAACTAATAGAACTGATAAATGAATTCAGTAAAGTCACAGGATACAAAATTAATACAAAGAAATCTGTTGCATTTCTATTTTTTTTTAATGTTTACTAATTTAGAGAGAGAGAGAGTGAGCACATGAATGCATGCACAAGTGGAGGAAGGGCAGAGAGAGAGAGAGAGAGAGAGAAGGGGGGGGAGGGAGGGAGAGAATTCCAAGCAGGCTCCTGATTCTCAGCGCAGAGTTTGAAGCAAGGTTTGATCTCATGAAACACGAGATCATGACCTCGGCCAAAATCAAGAGTCTGAAGTTTAACTGACTGAGCCAGGCACCCCCTGTTGCATTTCTATGTACTAATAAAGTAGCAAAGGAAAAATTAAGAAAACAGTCCCATTTACAATGCATAAAAAAGGATAAAATTCCTAGGAATAAACTAAACAAGGAAGTGAAAGATTTGTACTCTGAAAGTGATAAAATGCTGATGAAAGAAACTAAAGATGACACAATGGAAAGATTCCATGCTCATGGATTGGGAAAATCAATTAGTATTAAACTGTCCACACTACACAAAGCAATCTATACATTCAATGCAATCCCTATTAAAATACCAACAGCTTTTCACAGAACTAGAACAAACAGGGGCGCCTGGGTGGCTTAGTCAGTTAAACGTCCGACTTTGCTTAGGTCATGATCTCGCGGTTCGTGGGTTCGAGCCCCACATCGGGCTCTGTGCTGACTGCCAGCTCAGAGCCTGGAGCCTATTTCAGAGTCTGTGTCTCCCTCTCTCTCTGACCCTCCCCTGCTCACGCTGTCTCTCTCTCTCCCTCTCTCTCTCTCTCTCTCTCCTAGAAATAAATAAAACATTAAAAAAAAATTAAAAAAAAAAAAAAAGAACTAGAACAAATAATTCTAAAATTTGCATGGAACGAAAAAAGACCTCAAACAGCCACGGGCGGCTGAATGGCTCAGTCGGTTAAGGATCTGACTTCAGCTCAGGTCATGATCTCAAGGTTGATGAGTTCGAGCCCCACACCAGGCTCTGGGCTGACAGCTCAGAACCTGCTTTGGATTCTGTGTCTCCCTCTCTCTCTCTTTCTGCCCCTCCCCTGCTTGTGCTCACTCATACTCTGTCTCTCAAAAATAAATAAATAAACGTTAAAAAAAAAAAAAAAAAGACCTCAAACAGCACCCTTGAGAAAGAAGAACAAAGATGGAGGCATCACAACCCCAGATTTCAAGACACACTACAAAGCTATAGCAATCAAAACAGTATGATACTGGTTCAAAAACCAACACACAGATCAATGGAACAGAATAAAGAAGTTAGAAATAAACCTACACTTTTATGATCATTAATCTACAACAAATGAGGCAAGAATATACAATAGGAAAAAGACAAGCTCTTCAACAAATGCTGTTGGGAAAACAAGGCAGCTACCTGCAAAAGAATGAAACTAGACCACTTTGTTAGACCATAGACAAAAATAAATTCAAAATTGAGTAAAGACCTAAATGTGAGACCTGAAACCATAAAATTCCTAGAAGTAAACACAGGTAGTAATCTCTTTGATATCAGCCATGGAAACATTTTTCTAGATAGGTCTCCTTTGGCAAGGGAAACAAAAGCAAAATTAAACTACTGAGACTACACCAAAATATAAAGCTTCCACACAGTGAAGGAAACCATAAACAAAACGAAAAGACAAACTACTGAATGGGATATTTGTAAATGGTATCTCTGAAAAGGAGTTAATATCCAAAAATATAAAAAGAAATTATACAATGGAACACAAAAACAAATAATCCAACTTATACAATGGAACACAAAAACAAATAATCCAACTTAAAAATGTACAGAGAACACAGGCATTTTTCCAAAGATGACATACAGATAACAAACACATGAAAAGATGTTCAATATCACTAATCACCAGGGAAATGCAAATCAAAACCACAATAAGATATCACGTCACACCTGTCAGAATGGCCAAAATAAAATACACAAAAAATAGGGGCACCTGGGTGGATCAGTTCGGTTAAGCGTCCAACTTCGGCTCAGGTCATGATCTCACAGTTCGTGGGTTTGAGCCCCGCACAGGGCTCTGTGCTGACAGCTAGCTCAGAGCCTGGAGCCTGCTTCAGATTCTGTGTCTCCCTCTCTGACCCTCCCCTGCTCACACTGTTTCTCTCTCTCTCTCTCAGAAATAAATAAAACATAAAAAAAATTATTTTAAAAAAACACACAAAAAATAACAAGTGCTGGCCAGGATTTAGAGAAAAAGGAATCCTCATGCAGTGTTAGTAGGAATGCAGGCTGATGCAACCACTGTGGAAAACAGTATGGAGATACCTCAAAAAATTAAAAATAGAATTACCATATGACCCAGTAGTTCCACTACTGGGTATTTACCCAAAAAACACAAAAATGCACTAATTTGAAAAGACATACACATCCCTATGTTTACTGTAGCATTATTTACAATGGTCAAGATATAGAGGCCAAGTGTCTATCAAAAGATGAATGGTTAAAGATGATGTGGTATATATATACAATGAAACTTACTCAGCCATAAAACAGAACTTGCTATTTGCAACAACATAGATGCATCTAGAGGGTACAATGCTAAGTGAAATAGTCAGAGAAAGACAAATACCATATGATTTAAATAAAACATATGTGGAATTTAAAAAACAAAATATGAACAAAGAAAAAAGAGACAAATGAAAATACACTCATTTTTTAAGTACTCTTAGAGGACAAACTGGTTGTTGCCAGAGGGGAGATGGTTGGGGAGATGGGTGATATGGGTGAAGGGGATTAAGAATTCACTTATTATGATGAACAATGAATAATGAATAGAATTGTTCAATCATTATACTATACATCAAAAACTTAAAAAAAAAATCCCCCCCCCCACAACCCTCTGTAATATATAACACATCTCATATGTGATTTAGTACATTTCCTTGCCCTGAAAATCTAGCTATCACTAGCAGATATTTTTTCGGTGTAGGCAAAGAAATTAACTGTAACAAGATAAACTGGGGTTTGTTCCTCAAGTAAATACAACTGTTTTACTGAGGCTAAAATCTCTAATCTCTAATGGATAGGGAAAGAGCCTCTTCTACTTAATTTAATGATCAAAACCCTCACTGCTACTTAATTCTTTTTATTTTTAGCACCTCTTTTTTGGTTTCCTAACAAAATGCCCATAGTGATTATTACAAAGTATATTTAACTCCCCATTTCACTATGTCCTTTCTCAGAGGGGATATTAACTGGTATAGTGGACTCGGTGGTGGAAGACTGCAATCTGCATTCTGGCCCTGCACCAAGAAAACCACCACAGAAGAAAAGCACTGGATTAGGAGTCAAAAACACTGAATGTGAATCTCAGCTCTATCACTTTAGCCTTAAGACCGTGGACAATCACAAGGCTTCTCTGACTCCTCTGGTCGTCCACTGCCTCATCTGCACAATGATTATTATGAGGATTATTATGACATAAGTTATAGTATGCAAATAATATTTCTATATAAAACAGTAAACAGAAAGAAATATAGTAGCACACAACGTTAATAATAAAACTGTACAAAAGGAGATCAATAAAGGCTAAAGCACATGAAGGGCTTTACTGGGTTATCCTATAATCAAAATGTTCATTTCCAACTTCAAGCCATCCTTAGGTTCTAACATGCTCAAGGTTCCTCTTATTAAGGTCATGCAAATCCAATCCATTCTTTGAATTAAAGCTCTGATATTATCTCCCCCTTGACACCTTTCTTAAACATACAGTGAGTACCTTCTGCTAATATCCTATAACATTATCCATATCACTAATCTGATACTTAATGGCAGTCTTACATTCTAGAACTCTCTTGTGTACCAAGTCTGTCCCTTTGGCCTAAATAGACTCCATACAGTTAGAATGAAAGAACTGTGGGTTACACTTACTGTTTTCTTTTTAGCAACTAAGTACTCTGTAGGCAAACAAGATATAAACTGAATTAAAACCAAATTAATATAATTCTGCTATACAGTACCAAAGTTGCAAAAGAGATTACCTATTCAAATGGATTTCCTTCTCCTGTGCATGGCTGACCTAGAAACCTAGATAATTAGTGGTTTCCAAATAAAAGGGCAAAAACTGCCTACCAAAAGATATAATAAGTGTAAAGGAAAATGTTGCCATAATTCATGTTGCCATAATTTTATTTCCGAAGAAGACATATATTAAAGTTAACAGACAACCCTCTATAAGATGATCAAGAGGAGTTCAAATTCTTTACCCTCTCTTATCTCTGGACTCTTCTGGAAAAGATTAAACCAATAATATTTTTAATTAAATGGTTTAGCTTCTAAGCAAGATATAATCCACATGTCATCAATTAATTTGCTTAGGCTTTAAATTTGAAAGAAGCCAATGTTTTACAGAAACTCTAAATGCTATACTATGTACTAAACAAAGTGAATGAAAAGAAAATATACTTACCAAGAACAATACACACTTGCAGTTTGGAGCTGCTGAGTGAGGTAAGTCGTACAAAGAACAAATGCCGTGTTATCCTGACCCTCAGATTCCAGATTACATATGATGTCTAGTATTTCCTTGCAGTCGACCTTTGCAATCTATCAGAAATGAGAAGATGGACTCAAGATGAAAATGGTGACTTTCCTGTATATTTTGTTATGTAACAAGCTTCTTTTAAGCTTTTCTATCTTTGACAATTGATGAGGCAATTAGAGGGATATAATTTTCTTCTATTAACTCTGGGCTGAATCTCCTGAGCTATTTCATATAAGAAAATATTAAAGAGAAGTGAAGAGACACAAAAGGAAGTTCCACTGCAGTCCCAACACAGATAAAAACATTTTTGTACAGTTAAAAAAAAAATTATTCCATATAAATGAATCAAATTATGCACAGTAAGATTATTTTCACTTGAAGTATCATCTTTTTTTGTTTTTTATTTCCTTTTCAATTTTATTCAAGTCACTCTAGTTACAGATAGGAAAACAGAAGTCTTATCCTTACAGCCAGCAAGGCTAACAGAGGCCAGTTGAGAAACTTGTATCACTTTCTCAGATCAAGGAGGAAAAAAAATATTTGGTATAAATGAGTTTAAATAACTAAAACACTCAGAAATATAACTGTTTTATACTATTTTTTTTAAAGATTTAATTTTTAAAAGTAATCTCTACACCGAATGTGAGGCTCAACCCCAAAGTCAAGAGTCACATGTAGTAGAAAATGAGCCAGCCAGGCGCCCCTCATTGACACTACTTACAGAAATCTTAAAACCACCTCTGGGCAAATCAGAATTTTCTGGGGCTCTTTTTACACACTAAGAAAACAGAAGATTAAGACCTCTAAGGACCCTTTCTCAACTCTATTTTATCACTTCCCCATCTTAACAAAGAATATGAATAATCTCTTTGTCATGTGTCAGCCTTATAAATGTCGATTATACCAGACACCAAATGTACAAAACAATAAACTTCAAGATCAGTGAAGTGAGTATCAGGATGAATGAGTAATATGTATAAAAGAGTTTAGCTCATCTCTTCCAAAGTGCTATTCAGTTCCAACAGGTGGTTGAAGCACCTAATTTTAGTCATACCTCAAACAGGCACAGAAAGACTTTTTTCAAAGTGTAGCGCGGATGACATTTTCTCAAAGAATACTTTCACTTCTAAGACCAGGTCAGAATCCCCATCAAAAACTCTATTCTTATCCATTGAAAAAACAAAACAAACCCAACTCCTCCAAAAGTCAACTGTACTTCAATTAAATAAAAAATACCCCACATTAAAAAAAAAAAAAACAACTCTACTCTTAATTCCTCCTTTGTAACATCTATCACCACTGCAATTCAAGCATTAGGCAAAGAATTTATTAGTATCTGTCTTCTCTGCTAGAATGTAAAATCAATGACGTCAGAGGCCATGTATATCTTGTTCAAAACTCAGCACCCAGCAGTCTCTGGAACACATTAAAAAAAACAAAACAAAACAAACAAACAACAACCAGTAAATAGGAGTTGATGAGTGGAATAAATAAATCAAGTTTAATGAGGGCAAAATGTTCGTGTTCACAAAATGGACCTCATACAATTCTGTTTTCTAGTCTTTTCAAAGACAGTGTGATGACATAATAAGCTGTATGATATACTGGTTAAAAGCAATTATTCTTTTTTTAAGATATTTTTATTGTTTGTTTATTTAGTGTGTGTATGTGTGTGTGTGTGTGAGAGAGAGACAGAGAGAGAGACAGAGAGACAGACAGAGAGAACACAAGCAGGGTAGGGGCAGAGAAAGAAGGAGAGAGAATCCCAAGCAGGCTTTGCAGTGTCAGCAAAGCCTGACTCAGGGCTTGAACTCACAAACCATGAGAGATCATGATCTGAGCCAAAACCAAGAGTCAGTTGCTTAACCGAATGAGCCACGTAGGTGCCCAAAAGCAATTACTCTAAAACCAGATTGTGTATATTCTTTTCCCAGCTCTATAGCTACTAGCTCTGTGGCTCTGGGTAAGACACGTAACTTCTCAGTAACTTAGTGTCTTAGTTTCCTCATGTGTAATATGGAAAGAATAGAACCTCCCTCATGGAGTTATTTTAAGAATTTAATATGTTTTAGTACATCATGGTGACTATAGTTAATACTGTACTGCATATTGGTAACTTACTAGGAGAGTAGATCTCATCACAAGAAAAAAATTTTTTGTCACTGTATAGTGACAGGCATCAACTAGACTTATTTGGATATCATTTCACAACCTATATAAATATTGGATATTATGTTGTACACCTGAAATAATACAATGTCAATACGTCAGTTATGCATCAATAAAAAATGTGGTATGTGGGCCTACTAAAGTTACAATTAAGTTTTAAAAAAATATATTCTAACAGGGATTGACAAGTAGGGAGCATGTTAGAAGAGCTCTTAACTGTTTTCATGAATACATAAATTTTAAAAATAAGAAAAAGAAAAAAAGAAAGTTAACATTAAGAATATTAGAGAGTATTTCAAAAGATCACTCTCCGATGAAAGATCACACTTGATTTAAATTTATATCTAAGGAGCAATGGGAGGCAAAGTTACGCTGATAAAGCCTAGAACATAATTAAAGTTAAATTCAGTTCTCAGGTTAAAAAAAAATCTTATCAGACTTAATGAGGATGGAATTTTAATGACACCCTCAACAACCACGTCCTCATCCGCATCCTAGTCCGAGGCTGAATGAATCAGAAGGGTCATCCAGAGACAAAGGGCCCACCCCAGGGTGGTTAGAAGCGAAGTGACTAAAGGACTGAAATGAGCATTCCACAGCAAATCGACAGCTGTTCCAAAGCAACCAGCTACTATCCATGCCACGTTAAAGCTCTTGTCAAAAACACAGAATTCTAAAATTCGATTTTGCAATGTAACAGCAATATAACATTTCCAGGCTGAGAAATAGCATGAGAAACTCTCTAAGCCAGGCATATAAATGAAAATGGAAAGAGTATATACAACTTGCATTTCTAGAACATTTTTTATCCCTTTCAAATACCTTGAATGAGATATTATCTCATTTTATCAGCATGATAAATCTGTAAGATTAGCAAGGCTGGCAATATTATTTCTACTTCACAAGTAAAAGATGAGCCTAAGAAGAGACTGTTTCTTGTCTCTAGTCAACTGTGGCTAATAATCAGAAGTAACAGTAAACAAAATGAAAAACTAATCTCACGTCATTTTATTCCTACAGGGAAGCTCATTTTAAAAGGGTACCGTTCAGACAGATATGAGCTTTCACCTTGGAACCATGGTATTAAGAAAAAGGGACAAAGCTGAAGTAAATTAGAAATCTAGATTTCAAGTCAAAAATCAGTAACCTAAAATGGGTTAGGAGGAAATGATATGAAAAATCCAGATTAGCTGGTTAGAAGGCATATGTAGTTCTATCGTTTCCATTTATTACGAACACTCTAAAGATGAACACTACCAGTCAGTGTGTAACAACCCTAACCAAATAGCCCTCCTCCTCTTGCCTGCTGAACTGAGTCTCCCCACCCCTCAATATTCAGTGGAAACTTTTCTCATTATGAAGTCTTCCTTCATAGACTACTCTAGCATCCAACAGTCTCTTGCCTAACTCTGAATTCACAGCATCTTATCAACAGTTTTAATTGGGCTATTTTTTATTCCATTGTGGGTCAACTTTTGGGCCAGTAACTCATAGTGGCCATTACCTTTTATTATTTTACTTTTTTTTTTTTTTTATGTGCTTTGAACTTTGGCTTTCAAACTAGGCCGTGAATTCCCAAAGGCAAGAGCACTGTCTTATATGATATCCAAAATCCTCTGTGAACAAAATCCCATGGGAAAAAACCATGTTAAAATTAAAATGCACATGTCTTCCAAAGTGGTGCTGTTTACTACCAAGTACTTGTGCTATGCTAAGTACTGGGGATACAAGCCAACCTGATTTTTGCCTTCAAGGAAGTCACAGTCCAGCCACAGATAACAAATGAGGAGAGAGCAACTGCTAAGAATTACAGTGTATATTAATATTTTTTTTCTTTTTTTATATTAACTTACAATGGGGACGTACAGAGTATTTTTCTTACCTCAGGTAAAAAAAGAAGAAAAATCTAACCCAATTTGGGGGATCAAAAACAGCTTCCTGGATGAAGTCACGTTTAAGGTGAGAATTAAAGAATGAGTAGAGATAAGCCATGGGAAAGGGTAGAGTGAAATAAGAAAATAGTTCCAAACAGGAAGAAAAACACATCGCGAGGGCCAAAGGGTAAGAATGAACAAGGAACTGGAGAAACAGAAAGAAATTATTTCTGTACAGCTAAAGGTAATTTAGCAATAGTGTTGGAGTATCAACTCTAGCGGCTTCCTAAGAAGAGACGCCTTCTGCTCCTCTAGGATCTCAGTGCCTTCTGACACTACCAGAGATGGCTGGCAACCCAGCATACTCCTGCACCAACCTGACCTCTACCATCTTCTCAAACTCAACCTCAACTTTCTCCCAATGTTATCCATTTTCTAGTAAATTTTAAATACCAGCATGCTTTTAGTTCATGCTTAATATTGCTGTTTACCTGACATTTTAGAATATATGCCTGATAAGGAAGTTTCTAAGAGGTCTATAACACCTAAGCACGGCAACTTATATATGGTTTTTTTATTATCCATTACCTCCACTGTTTTACTTCCATCAAGGTTTCTAATGAGAAAATAAGATTAATTTATAATGGGGTTTTTGTACAACCTTCCAAAAGAACTCATTTGCCTCACACATACTCATCTATGCTAATAACAGGACATCCATCTAGACTTTTTTTTTCCACTCTCATTTAAGTAATAAAAAAAAAAATTCTCATCTTTCTTTCAAGTGAAGAAACTGAAGCCAGAGTTCCTTTAGTCTGTTACCTACTCTCCTTGATTCTAAGTCCTTTGAAAGCTGGCGTCTTATCTCATGTTTTTAACCTACTGCTCTAGGATCTTTACATGACAAATACGCAAGCACTCAGTTAACATTTTTAATTGAAGAGAACATCAGTATTTTGCCCCAAACACCAGTATTTTCTTGAATACAGAGGAAAAAGTGTTCTGATAAAGAAATAAAA